AGATAGATAGATAGATAGATAGATAGATAGATAGATAGATATATAGATAGATAGATATATAATTAAACAGCACAACTAAATTGCAAATACGTTTTGCAGTTTAAGTGGGTCATTAATAACATTTTTCTTATTTATTAAAAATATGAGAGAGATGTTTGATGTGTAATCACATTAAATACATCACAAACAAAGGCGCTAATTTGTCAAAAAACTGCAACCAAAATGTTGAAAAGATTTCACCAATTTACCTTTTTTTAATTTAATTTTATTTTTTTACAAAAAAGGCTTTTCATTGTACAGCTAAAGAATGGACAATTGTAGTACATGAAGGCAATGGATGTACTACTGGAGCAGGTGCAAGTGGTGTGGATGAGAACTAAGCTTACCAGGCTGTCGTACCTGGGCAGGAGCTCACAGCCAGCCACCACGAACAGCCTGAGGAGGCACCTGGGGTTTCACATGTGGAGGACAACAACAATGAGGAGGACAGGGAATCCAGTGGAGAAGAGTTGGTCTCTGAACCGTCAAGTGAGGGATGCCCAACAATCTGGACAGCTGCCTAGTTCAAGGCCAAGCAGACCTACTATCCATGGCTTATAATAGAAAAATCAGGTTTGGGTTGCTTTGGGCTACTGTGGTTTGAGGTAGGATAGCTGTCCTAGGACCAGAAAGTCCCAGGTTCAACTCCCCACCATGCTCACATGTCATAGTTCCTTGAGTAAGAAACCTAATCCCTAAATGCTCCCCGGGTGCTTACAGAGCTACCCGGTGCTCCACCTGGGTCTATCTCAGGTGTGATGGGTTAAATGTAGAGCAAAAATTTTGTCTTTGTATAGAAACATATAATGATGACAAAACATAGCACTTTCTTCTTTCTACATGCAAGGCAGTTGGGACTTTAGGACCAGAGAAGACTGGTGGAATGAAAATGGTTAAATAACGGGTGTCAAGTTTAATAGCTTCATCTGCCATAACAAATCAAAGCAGAAACAAGCACTTCATAAAATATTTGAACATACTCAGACCAGGAGTCACTTAGCAGCAAAAAAACATAATTGAAAAAGCTAAAGAAGACACTTTGGGACAGGCTATAGTCCGTGCTCAGTCTGAACAAATAGCCACAATGAGTCTAAAGGACACAGGACTGCTACTGAGACATCGAGCAAGGTGCGGAGTAGGGAGGAGGATGAGGAGGAATAAAATAGTCCCTTACTACTTTGTGGTTCGACTTTTGCGGACTCGCTCTTTCGTAGTTTTTCAAAGATCGTCAAATTTAATATTAAGTAATATTGGGACAGTACGGGATAAAAAGTTAACGAAAAAAGATACTTCCGCCAGGTGCTGCCATTTTGTAGTTTTCTTTCAATAAGCCTATACCAGGGCTATTCAACTGGCGGCCTGTTTTATATATATATATATATATATATATATATATATATATATATATATAT